AAAAATCACATACATACACACACAGAAACATGTGTGAAAACTGGTTCTTAAGAAGGTGATCTCCACATCTACAGCAGTATCTCTTCAAAGTACAGTCTGCAGGCATCAGCATCAGAATCACCTGGAACACTTGTTTAAAATTCAGGTGCCTATGCCTTGATTATGAAATGAATAAGTCACAAGGATAAAAAGCACAGCATAGGGGATATAGTCAATGATACTGTAATAGTTTTCTATAGTGGCAGATGGGAACTACACTTGTGGTGAGCACAGCATAACATACAATGTTGTCAAATCACTCTGCTGTACACCTGAAACTGATGTGACATTGTCAACTATACTTCAGTTTTAAAAATGTAGATGCCTGAGCTCCACCCAAGAGCTTAATCAGAATTCGTGTTTTTAACAAGTTTTTCAGACACCCTGCAACATACCAAAGAACAACTTCCCTACACCATTCCTTATTTTAAATAACTATAAATGTTTACATGCATCTGCAATCAAAAAAGTAGAAGTACTATTTATCTGTTTGATACTATTATGTTCCCTCAAAGTTAGGGAGGAATGACTCTTATCCTTTTAGGAAACTCTCATGCCTCTCATAGGGCACTAAAGCCATCTAATCTTATGGACCAAGGTTAACGACTACTAACAAGAGAAACAAATCAATTGTTGGTTTAAAAGGTACGAAACTTTTGGGTGCCTGGGTGGCTCAGTCAGTTAGGCAACTGACTCTTGATTTTGGCTCAGGTCATAATCTCACATGAGTTTGAGCTCTGTGTTGGGCTCTGCGCTTGGGATTCTCTCTCTCCCTCTCTTTCTGCCTCTCCCCACCCCCCTCTCTCAAAAATAAATAAATAAACTTAAAAAAATAAGTAAATAAAAGGTAAGAAACTTCAATATTTTCCTGGCATAACTTATAATGTTTGAAAGAGAACCCTGCTTTTAAAATGGCATATATTTGGGCACAGCCCTTTGGCTTTTCACCAGCCAGTATCATTTTTTACACATGCCAGGTACTAAGCATCAAATCCCTGGATTACCTTGAAGAATGAGATAGATATGGTCTCCACATGAGGAAAGCCACAGTGGTTTCTTCTTTTCCTTCCTTTTGTGAAAGAAGGAGATGGCATTGGATAAACATATGTAAATACTATTAGATGAATACAATATTAGAGATATGCTACAGGGACTTTTATGAGTCCAGTAGTTGAAAACCTCAACATATCAGGGAAGGCTTCCGACAGGCAGTTGCTTTTGAGCAGATGCTGACAGATGGGGAGGGAAGTTCTTCCCCAAGGGGTCAAGTGAAGGAAGAAAACTGCAGGCAGGGTTTCCTGCAAGGGCTCCCAGGACCCAGCCTTCTCTGTAAAACCTAGATGGTCTGACCAAAATATCTTAACAGGTATCAGATTTGTGCTATTTATGCGTAAATAGTAATATGGTTCCTTCAAACATCAAAAAATGAAAATTAGCCCAAATAATTTCATTTGAAATCGATGCGCATCCTCATTTACATTGTCCTGATAAAGAAAAAGCCTAGATTTTCTTTACATTTACAGACATTACATTTACAAAAATAGACATCCTGTATAAATTACTAAAAGGAAAAAACATTTTATTGCAATTAGGTTAAATCTATTTCCTCACTCCTCCCTCTGGCCACCTCCTTCCCAAATAGATCACTTTGTAGAAAGTAGCAGTTATTCAAAACAAAACATGTTGGTATATCTTACAGCCAAGTGAAATGGATCAACAAGGCACAATGACAAGACTCAATCTCAAATTGATAAATTTATCTGGTGGAAAAAAAATGTAGCTTGAGCAGCTTGTTGATCATTTTAAATGTTAATGGTAATATTCTTCTTTACTATTGAGATATTTGTGACTAATGGTGTGATGCAATTTAAATTTATAACATGCATTAATTTCAGCTGTTTTTCATCATTAGGAAAAATATTTCAAAAGAAACTTCAATATTTTCCAAGAGCAACATATGAAACAACACCAGAGTTCTATCAAGCCCAGAAGGCCCCTCCACAGACTCAGTTCTGTCAAAATCAGGCCCTTGAAAGAAGACTTTCTCTTAGTAATTTCTTGGTTGCATTCAGATTTCCAAAGACTTAAAATAAAAACATCTCTTCTAATTCCTCAATATAACTTGATATCAGAATATTATTAGTTCCATTGTGGTTATGATGAGTAATATATATATATATATAGGCTACATTTATGCCCCATGTAATGGAGGTCATATGACCAAAGTGATTTTTTCCCCTTGAGTCTATGGATGGTTCAAGAGTATTGTAATGTTCACATTTTACAACAAGAAATAGAAAGTTAATTGATAGCTATTTAGAGCATTAAAAAAAACCCTAGTTAGACAATGAAAAGTTACTTTGTACAAGATTAAAATAATTTCTTAGGACTGACCTCCATATTGGTTGCTGAGCCAACAGACTACTGGCGCTAATTGTTTACTTAAACTAAGTCACTGCAACTCCAAATCAAAGTGTTTTCCATAATTTGGTATTGGCTTGATGGACATGAAGGTTCCACAGGATATCCGTTCTATTTTTTCCCTTTGCTCAAAAAAGATTTTAATGTTATGTGAAGTCAGGGGCTTTATTTTATTTTTGTTCTGTTCTACATAATCCTGTCTTTATTCATGTTTGTGGATGTTGAAAGAGCTACATTCATAGCCATGCTTATCTACCAACTTACTGCCTTGTTCATTCAGAATAAGATTAAAGAACCACAGTTTTTGTTACCAACTACTTAAGCAGTAAGTAATGTACTAATATTGAGTATGTGCTATTGCCAAAATTAATATTTACATAACAAATGGGATAATAAAATTTAGGTCATCTTGGCATGTTAAGAGGAAGAGCCCTCACTATGCAATAATCAATTAATCCGTGAACTGTCCTAGTCCTATGTTTTGTAGTCAGGAATAGCTAACTGACCTGGATATAATGTACATATCTACAGAATCACGGTGACTTAAGAAAGCAGTCACCAACTGCCTGTTGATAAAATGAAACTAATTTTCTTGATTAATAATAACAATAAAATACTAAAATTAAAATACCTGAAAACTGCAAAGAAGGAGGGGAAGCATTGACAGTGAGAGCCATAGAAGATAATGCTTAAACAGGTGTTCTTCATGGCTCTTAGGAGAGATCACTGAGCTCAGCTCTGGAGAATCCAGAACTGTATGGGCTGTTTTATTCTTGAATTTGAGCCAAATGTCTGTGACAGAACTGTGCCTGCTTTTATTTTGCAAAATACAACAAAAAGGAAAGGAAAGGAAAGGAAAGGAAAGGAAAGGAAAGGAAAGGAAAGGAAAGGAAAGGAAAGGAGGGGAGGAAGGAAGGAAGGAAGGAAGGAAGGAAGGAAGGAAGGAAGGAAGGAAGGAAGGAAAGAAAGAAAGAAAGAAAGAAAGAAAGAAAGAAAGAAAGAGGGAGGAAGGAAGGAAGGAGGGGAAGGAAGGAAGAAACTTGAAATTTATGAAAAATCAAAGAAAAAAAAACTAAGGAGTGAGTGATCAGTAATTCCTAACATACCCAATTTAGCATCAGGAAAATGGTTGTAATAGTAAACATTTTGGCAAAAGGCTATTGTGGCCAACTACTCTAACCTGTAAGCCTCCCAAACTTTGTGGCTTAAAAGAATTAGTTATGTACCATACTTTTGTAAATTGACAGGGCTCATCAAGATTCTTCCTTAGGGACTCTCATGAAATTGCAGTTGGATGTTGGCTAGGACTACAGTTACCTCAAGTCTTGACTGGACTGGCCATCGAGGGTGACTCCCTCATGGTTGGAAGCTGATGTTAGCTTTTGGCTGTAACCTTAACTGGAGCTGTCAACAGGGATGCCCCATACATGACTCCTTTATGTAGCTTTGGTTTCACATTGTGTGGTGGCTTGGATTTTAGACAGAGCATTCCAAGATGAAGTATTCTAAGAGATCCAGGGGAAAACTAAGAAATTTAATGACCTAACATCTAAAGTACCAAATCATCACTTCTGTCACACTGTATTGCTCAACCAGGTTACTAAGTCCAGCCTAAATTCAAGGGGAAGGAAAATAAGGCTCTCTTGACAAGAAGTAGCACGTGGATGTAGAGACGAAAGGAATTAATACTAGTCATCTTTGAGATTCTTACAAAGGCATTGTGTCTATCTTGAGCATGCTAAATACAGCCTAAAGATCCTTCATGATGGGTGTGGATTCTATGCACATTGATGTGGACACAAATTTTGATCTCAAAGGGAATATAAAAATGAGATTATGTCACCCATCCATTTAAAGCTAACCAATGCTTCCATTATACTGAGAATAAAATTCACACTTAACATGGTCTCCAAAGCCCTACATGGTTGGCTCTATTCCAATTTCTCTGACCTCATTTCCATACACTCTTTTCCTTGCTCACTTTGCTATAGCCATCCTGACTTTGTTTCTCTTCCAACAATCCAAGCTCATTCCCACTTTTCCACATTTTCAATTTCTACTGCCTATACTTTCCCCCAGATCTTTATACATCCCATACCTTCACTTCAATCAAGTTTCTGTGCAAATGCCTCTTTGGAGAGGACATCACTTAACCACTTTAATCGATCACACACTATTAACCACTCACTGATCACCATGCCATCACTACCTGAAATGACCTTGTCCATCTCTCTGTTTAGTTTTAGGTGTCAGGCACCAGACCATGAGCCCCATTAGAGCAATGGACTTACCTGTCTTATCCACATCCATATTCCCAGAAGAGTGTCTGGTACATAATGATATTTAGTACATATTTGTTGAATATATGAATAAAGGTAGGCCATGATCAAGTTCTCTTTTTATTTGGCTATAATTAGAAATAACCAAAATGTCCTTAAAGATTATGACAGCCTTATATATAATTCATTCAAACCTCAATTTCACCTTTGACCACTCACATGAGATATCTAGAAGGAAGAGAGTCATATTCACTGACTTACCTTTACACCTCTCATCTGTTGGTTATAGGCTCCTACTGCTGCCACCTTGGCAGGAGTCATCTCTAGCAGCCTGTGGCTTTCTTTGTTTCTGTTATGCTACCTAAGATAAAAAATACAAAATAAAATATTTTTCTTTCTAATCCAATATGATCTTTAGGAAACTAAGGACAGGGGGCTTAGAAAGAGAAGACAGGAGAGGTAGCATTTCACTACTTGTCAAAATTAGTTCTTTCTATTCATTTTTTTTTTTTTTGGATCCCATATTCCTCTCTCTGCTCATCATTTGGGGTCTGTTGCTTTAAAATCTATTTTACAGCCTCCCTAGACTACTTACACTTCCCTTTGAAAACTAGACTCTCTCCCTCCTATCTACATTTCTGGAATGCTCTTTTCACCTTTGTTCCTCCAGCTAAGTACCTTTCATCCCTGAAAATTTATTTCATATATCTGCTCATTTGGAAAGACTTATACTAACCACCACCTCCACTTCCCATTTCCCAACCCCTTCTGATTTAGGTTTCTATTAACTACACTACAGTGAGGTAAGTTTTGTCTCCTCATCCAGCTGAGTTCTTTGCAGACATGGATGTCGTCTTGTTAACTTCTAGAATCTTATTGCCAAGTCCAGTACCTGGAACATAGTATACATTCAGTACTTACTGAATTAGCTCAACTTAAATTGCAACAAAGTTAAAAGAGAACAGTAGGGAATTGGGACATTGGTAGAAAATGTCATGGGGCTAAGAACACACTGGCCTCTTCCTTTTACACACAGCAATTTTATTAGTTCAGGCCCAAATATATGTGCTTTTCCAGAAATGTCACCATTATCTAATATGTTAAGAAAAGAAGCTGAAACTTGAGTTATTTAGAGCACTGGCATGAAATCAGGCATTTTTCCACTTCTTCTCTGCCACACCCTCTACTCCTCCTCTTGTTCATTTGCATTTTTCTTGCTCAGTCTGTGGGTTGTAGGTGCAGAAAATAGGCACCAGGAGCAATCTACAGAATTCAATGTGATCTCTGACAAAAGAGGCTATCCATGTTTTTTATAATTGTAAATTCTCTCTTTTTCATATCTATTTAGATATATCAACATTGGTGAAATTATATGTCTTTTATGTGTCTTTGGAGGTGTCTTTAATAGGCATATAGAAATTGGATGTGGGGCACCTGGGTGACTCAATCAGTAAAATGTCTGGCTCTTGGTTTCAGCTCAGGTCATAATCTCATGGCTCATGAGCTGGAGCCCTGCATCAGGCTCTGTGCTGACAGCACGGGGCCTGCTTGGGATTCTCTCTCTCTCTCTTTCACTCCATTTCAAAATAAATAAATGCAATAAAAAAAAAAAGAAATTTGATGTGATATTTATGTCCAATACAAAGAGCTATTATTTTCAAGAAAATTTTTTACTTTTTTTTTAATGTTTATTTATTTTTGAGAGGGGGGGAGAGAGAGAGAGAGAGAGAGAGAGAGAGAGAGAACATGAGCAAGGGAGGGGCAGAGATAGAGGGAGATACAGAATCCAAAGCAGGCTCCAGGCTCTGTGCTGACATCTCAGAGCCCGACATGGGGCTTGAACCCACGAACCGTGCAATCATGACCTACGATGAAGTCGGACACTTAACTGACTGAGCCACCCAGGGGCCCCAAGATAATTTTTTACTTTAAAGAGAAGAGACTGATACTACATTTCATCTTCAGAAAAAAATCTATATCTATATCTATATCTATATCTATATCTATATCTCTCTATTTACCTATATCTTCAAAAACTTTGCTAAAATGGTGCTTTTCCACTTTTTTAAAGAAAATGAAAACATAGGCAGTCAGCTAGCAAGCTAGTTAAGTCTTACCCTGTTCACTGCATACAGAAAGCAATTTGAAATAGTACCTACATAACCTTCAGTTCAGCACAGCCATTCATCACCCTGTTAGTAATGCCATTATGGGGCCCCCTTTGAAACACCCCTGAAATTGACACTTTCTAGGTGGGAAAGATAGTACAAGTCAAAATAACATATTTTGTGCTGGTACAATGGTTGTACTGCTTGTGAGTATTATGTTAGTTTACAATGTGGCTTTATCAATAATTGTTGAACAAAGTTTTCTGAAAAGACTGAAAGATTTAGGTCTGTTGGTGGTGGAGGATGGTGGATGAATTAAGTTAGTGGAAAGACAAAACTAATTAATAGTGGAGATTGTGATTTTGTGGTAGTTTGGAAAACTGAGGATTGTGCTTTCTGGCCAGAGATTTCCTATGAAATGTGAGTGGCTGATTAAGAAAACACATCTCATTTCCCTGTATGTATGTGTCTTCATTGAAAGAATGGAGCTAGTGTCAAGTTTCTTAAGTACCACAGTGATAGAAGCTTTAATATGTACTGTAGAAGTATCAGACTGAATCTGGCACTAATACTTTCATTTCTGGAAAAAAAAACACAAATACTCAGTCCCCCCCACTCCTTGAAATGCCCACTACCTCCATTCGTGCATGTCTATTAGAGGCCAAGACAAATGTACCACATTTCACTGCTTCTCAGCTGTACAGCTTACTCTGTAATCTAATGCCAACTCCCATAAAATTCAAGCTGTAGCAAGTCACCTTGCACAACAGGTCACTCACATAGCTTTGTCCCTTTGAGTTTATGGGAAACAGGAGGAAAGCCAGCAGTACGTAACCAGGCTTAGTGTAGACCATCAAATCACTCTCCTTGACTAATGGTAGACTCTTGGTCATCACTTGTGAAAGCCAGTTCTTAGGCCAGCCAGGCAAAAAGAGCTTCTAATAGATTTCTTGAGGTCTATTTTTTCTTCATATTTGACACTCATGAGAAATATTTTCTTTTTTCCTAAACTTACTTTTAATCTGTGGCTCAATTTTTTTCATTTATCACATCCTGCCTCATCTAACTCCCCTTGTTCAAAAAGGACAAGGGGGGGCGCCTGGGTAGCGCAGTCGGTTAAGCATCCGACTTCAGCCAGGTCACGATCTCGCGGTCCGTGAGTTCGAGCCCCGCGTCAGGCTCTGGGCTGATGGCTCGGAGCCTGGAGCCTGTTTCTGATTCTGTGTCTCCTTCTCTCTCTGCCCCTCCCCCGTTCATGCTCTGTCTCGCTCTGTCCCAAAAATAAATTAAAAAATGTTGAAAAAAAAAGATTAAAAAAAAACAACAAAAAACAAAAAGGACAAGGTATTTGTCTAATTCAGCTTTTTATGCACCTAGAAAATGGGAGGATATGATGCACAATACAGTGACTCCATATTCATTTAACAAACGTATGAATGTATATTTTTGACACACTATATGGCATGCATTCAATTTTGGATATAGGAAACCAAGATATAATCAGTTCAAGGCTGAAGTTATATTGAGAAACAGTCTAATTTCAGTCATCTGATTTGTGACCAAAGGCACATCTTTAAAATATTAGAAGCCAGAACATGTACATTTAGTATTTTACCACACTCATTTAAGATAAATTCAAAATTATGTGAAAGAAGAGCAAATATTAACAATCATCATACTTCATTGAAAAAACTTTCAAATAAGATTTGTGTTCAGCAACCAAAAATAGCCAGATTGATTAGCTGAGTCTGCCATTGGCACAGGAAGGAGTGGAGACATGCCCCTGAAAGTTTGGATCAGATTCCGATAACTTACATTTTTTTAATAATGAGATAGGGATCACAGAGGCAGAGTTATCTTCCTAAAGTCATGTACCAGCAGCTAGATGTTACCAAGGCTCTAACAGAGAGCTCAGTTCTCAGTACCCTAGGAAGGGTTCTTGGGAGAAGGAGTTGAATAAAGAATAATCTGAAAAAAAAAAAAAAAAAAAAAGAATAATCTGTAGGAAGAAGAAAAATTCCTCATCCAACCCAGGAGGAACCAAATTTCTAACCTTCAGCTCCCAGCCTGACCAGAGGTTCCATGGCTGTCACACCCATTGGGTACAAAACTACAGGAGATGTGGGTGAAACAAAAGCACTGGAGTGGAGGAGAAGGACTCATCTTAACAAGCCTGAGCCTTCTAATGCAAGGAAGACAATGTTCACAAGCACAAGAATCAACAGGGGAATCTTCAGAGGGTCCTCCAAATACCAGTATGGCTCCATTCCCAGCTTCTAGAGAATCACCAGCAGCTACCAGGAGCTCTCCCTGGTGCTGCCGCAGCACAGACCCAACCCCCAAATTCAGCATGGTTTGCTACTTTAGCTCTAACCTCTCTTTGTAAGTCTAGTTTCTCAGAAACAAAAACCAAACCAAACCTTGTTTTAAAATGTTTGATGAGGTACCTGTTAGTAGCCTAAAATGCAACTGAGCCAGTATTTTGAATGAGATATTTACTACCCTATTCGTATGACACTGTGTGTGAATGTACTACTCTCTCCAAAGGAGAGCAGATAAGTCCTGACTACAATAGAATTGTGGGCAGTGTGGGGGAGTGGGATCTTCATACTACTTCTAATCAGTGAGAGTGATATTGCAGGGAAAAACCTTATGATGAGTCATTGAGAGACAGGAGGTCTAGAATTGCCTCTGCTTATGATTAGGTGATGACCTTTGGAAAGTAACTACATTTCTCTGGATCTCTTTGGTTTTTTTCTACTGTAAAATAAGGAAGTTGACTTAATAATCTATAAGATTTCTAATAGGCTGTATGACTATACTCTTCTCTGGACTGATCTTAAGGCAGCATAAATGGCTGCCACCACCTCATGGCTGGGATTACCTATGTGTTGTTATTATTCCATTGGACTCCACTTTCTGGTTGCTGACACTAACACATATTATGGGGCTTTCCTCTAAGCACTGCCATGTAATTCCTCATAACTAGATCAGGCACTGGGACTGTCAGAATTCTCTCTCACACTCATGTCTTTCTACTTATACAGCTAGCTGAAGCATCTATTAGTGTTCTCATGATTTTAGAAGAGAAAGTGGGGGCTATGACACCCACTCAGTATCACTTGAAAGGCAATTGTCTTTTCCACTGCTCAAGTGCCTACACAGAAGCTACTTTTCTGAAATAGATGCCAACCAACTTCTTCTGGTTTATTTACTCTTTCTTCTTTTTTTTTTTTTTCACTATCATCA